GACGAAGGACTAGCGTCCGAAACGTCAGTAAGTTTTTTCATCTTTTCACGGTGTATAATTTACCTTTTCATCATTACATGATTACAACATGTTCCTTTAGTTTCATATGTCAAATCTGTCATTTTTCCAAATGCTTGGTTATGTTGCTAATAACTATTTATTTTATTTTGTTTTAAATATTCAAAACTCAGACATGTTATCTAATGCAAGTCCTATCATTTAAAAGAGTTACTCCTTTTTTAATCATTATTGAAAGTTGCAATAGGCAACATTAATGACAAAGGCCTGTATAGTCTGAGAAAGATAAATGTGAAAAAATTCCGGAATGTTAATTGTGTGGACGAGGACATTTCCTAATGGGCAAGACAAATTAAAAGGCAGGCGTTTTTTACACTGTTTTTTTTTGGTGTTTTTCCCCTGTGGTTTAATAGAGACCTCCCAAATTGTATCACTTCCTTTATATATTTCTTGTTGTGACTATGAGGACAGCTGTGTTTTAAAAATAGTTCACAGGAGGTTTATGTTAATTTATTTGTCATGAAGGTTATTATTCTTCATATTTTGTTATATTGCTTTTAAAGTGGTCAACTTATTAACCCTTTCACTACTAGAGCAGCCAAAAGCAGCCAACCAGAAATGCTACATGTTTTCCTAGAGCGGCCAAAAGCGGCCAGCGGAAAAACATTTTTGCTTTTCAATTACCCGTCCCCTAGGACATTTCTATGTATTGAAACATGTGGATCATTAACCAATCAGATTCTATCAACTGCTTTGATGTGTGTTATAAGGCCTCAATATCTACTGAGCACATGTTTTTCATTTTGATATTGAGAAATAAAAAACACCCTAATTATGTTCCAGGAAGAGCCTGTGTTGGACCCTTGTAGCCTCTAGTAGTGAAAGGGTTAATGGAATTATTTTATAACTATATTTATTCAGCTTAAATTTAATCAGAAAGAAAGTTATATTTTTTGGATTTAAATCTTACATTTCTTGGTGTAMGAATTTGAACCTCAACATATATGGAATATACATTGTTATGTAATAGAAAATATTTTTGAAGCCACATTGTTTTGCCAGAATCCTTTTTTTGTAGTTCTATCTTTCGGCGTATTTTGACATTTTTAAATCTTCATATCTTGGCAAGGATTATACTTCATGTTCTTGTAAAAGCAATAAAATCTGCCAAGAAATGGAGAAATATTCCATAAATTTGGTGATTAATTATGGCTATTTTTTCGRAAATTGTGGGGAAAATGCAAATATTGCGGAAAATGATAATTAGTGCAATTTGGTCAATATTGCAGAATCGCACCCTCGCCCTCTATCAGATGCTCTGGATAATCTTCTTTTAACCAATTGTATGGGTTTCAAGACTTTTCTTTCAAGAGGCATTCCAAAATCATATACTAACAGAATATAATTTATCATAGCTTATAGTCAGAGCAATTCCAGAATGATTGACTTGAAAACATTGATATCTTGGGAAATCTCAGCACAACTAAATTAATTACCATTTAAATTTCTTTACTAGTCTCACATTTATGTCAATGGTTAACAAATTTTCTTTATCAGGTGAGTTTTGAAGACTTCAAAGAAGGATTTGTTGCTGTGCTATCTTTAGCTATTGATAACTTGTCCTCTAGTGAAGATGAAGCTGACAGCACACTTGACAATGCAGGTAACATGATTTTTTTATACTCCCAACAATTTTTTTTTCTTTTTTTCCTATTTTGCTGGGCTACCTGTGTATATAGCTGGCAAATTGAGTGTCTGCCAAAATGTGTGGGCTCGTCCCTCCAACACTGCAGCACTCTYGCTACACCACTGAGCATTCATTTTATGGTAAAGCACAATTATATAGAGGCTTTGCACCATCACCTGATGGCATTCATGACAGGGGGCAGAAACAAATTGATTCTGGTCTAATCTGATTTACATAAGAAAGGATTCAGTTTCCCAGTGTGAAAAGACTCTATTGTTATGCCTTCTGTCACGGCTGTCATCACGTGATGGTGCAAAGCCTCTATATAGGAATAATAATAATGTTGATAGTAAAATTGACAATAATGATTACAATGATGTTACAACTAGGAACTATAATTTAATACCCTTTCAAATAGTGTTTGCATGCATAATGCACCTATAGCTTGCATGTAGAAACACATTGTGTGCATGTACAATGGATAGCTTAGATGACACTGTGACCATCTTGCCCAGGGGCAATAGCGAACAAAGATGATGGAAAATATATAGAGTTCCATGTGTTTGTCTTTAGAACTTTTATGGGTAAATATGATGGGTATGCTGTCTTAATTCATCTTTTGTTGTATTTTCTCGTGGGGAGCTGTTAATATCAATTGATGTTGTTACTGCAACAAAGCTTTATTTACCCCCTGGACGCCCCATTATGCCTTGCAACCCAAGATGGCCGACCTATCATCAAACTAAAAGTAGTCCATTGTTAACTTTTTGCTTTAGCTCATTTGGAAGAGAAGACAATTATATATCCGCATGTGGTGATTACATTGTACAGCATTAACTTGCATCAGACTATCTATGTATGCATGCATGCATGCTGCCATCAGTATACAATCATGTTGTGCAAACATGGGGATTTCCAAATGAGAACAAGATACCATTGTCACCATACCCTATTATAAAATCATATTTAAATATCATATTGAATAAAAAAACATTTGCATAATTTGTAAATAATTGTTAATCCAGAACCACCAAAGCTTGTTGTTAATGAGAAGAGGTATGGCAGGAAAAGCAAGCCAGATACTTCATATTCTGAAGACTTGTATTCTGCTGATGATGAGAGTCTATCAGAGAGTAGGACTGACAACCAGACAAGTATGAAACTCACAAATGGAGTGAGCGAAAAACATGAAGAGGAAACACATCAAAAAGTAAGTAAACCACTTTATATCAGGGCTTAAAATACTGTAACAGCCAGTCACCAGACAATGTCTGACTAGAACTGAAAAGTTGGCAAAGTCAAATTTTTGCCTTACTGGTTATTTTGACCTGCCCAGTAACGTTCAACCAAAAACGAGGTAGAAAAGAGCTAAAACTAATTTGGCCTGGTGAATGACCAGCTCTTATTTTAAGCCCTAAGAGAGAATTATTTTCGTATTCAAGCAGTGAGCGCCAAAAACTATTTTCATGAAGAAAGGCTGTTGTACAAGGCTAAAATCTTGTTATTCAGAAAGTTTAACTTGTTTGGAAGTGGAGATGACCGACGAAAGTGGAATCAAAGTGTTAACCCAAAGCAAAAATGTTATTCGAAAAAGAGGTTTCGGCCTTCATTTGCTTATTTCCCATACATTTTCTATAAAAAAGCCTGACAAAGCTACATTCTAACACAAATGCAACAAAACATCTTTGTACAATTGAAAATACCGCTTCAAACAAGCATTTTATCATGGTACTGTACGTACATCAGTTTCTTACTGTTAAAAAATGGTTTTGAGTGTTAATTGAACCAAAACGAAAATTGGGATCAAAACTCGAACCAAGGTCTAGTTTTTGGCACTTTTTGCCATTATTGCTCGTTATTGAAAAAAATTTCCTCTTAAATTATATTAAGTTTATTTTAAGTTTAATAATACTTTTGTTAAATAACAGAATACCCCACAAATGTATGGCTTGCTCAAATTTAATAACAATGACTTCTATTGCTGTATGGGTCATTCCACAAAGAGTTCCAAGTGTCCATCAAGTTTCTTCCCATATGTACAGTAAAATGACCCCTTATTTAGCAGACACAATAATACAAGGTGTCCATTTCATGGAAGTACAACTTTATCATGATATTAGCCTTTATATGATTTATGATTTTGTTTAAATATAGGAAAGGGGGAAAGTAAAAAGAAGACTATCAAGTAGGAAAAGCAGCTTAAGAAACAGCATTCGAAGACATAACTCCATGAAATGGCAAAAGAGAACTCTTTCCCAAGATGAAACAGAAGTTCTTGAAGCCAGTGGTGAGATGAAGCCCTCCCAAAGCCCTATTCCTGCTAATTCAGGTATGAAACTGTTACCAAGACTGCATTGCATGCACAACTAGTGCACTCACTCTTACCACTGTTTATGATAAATTATAGCTAGCTCAACCTAGGCTTGCTGATACGTTGCTCAGCTGAACTGCACATATATGTAATGTTTCAATAGTGTTCAATATGTTGTTCACTCCCTTGTCAAGAGGGGTATTACTGATTAAGCAATAAATGGTTTGTTTGTACCATTTTGAAGGGTATGCCTCACCTACTGAACCATCAGAAGAGGATCAGCTCAAAGCAATATGGAATGAAGTACATGTTGGCGCTACAGGTTTTCTTGATCGGCATGAACTAGCTCTGGTTTGTGATCACATTGGTATGGATTCCATGAATGAGCAGGTATAGCTAAACATATCAAACAGTTTCTTTAACTGCCAATATCAAAATCCTTATAACTAGTGTTTTAGCTGAGAGCTTATCCTTAGAATAAAAGGTGCTTGCTGTCTCCTCATCCCCCAGTAGTTAATGTTGCTGTCGCTCAAACTCAAAAGACATTAAAGTCAAGAAAATTTCAGCCTTCCAGTTGGCTCAGTTTGTTGGCACTGGCCTTTTCTCTGTGGGTTCAAAATGCTTCTGAACCAATGGACTTAGGGTCTGTACAAAAGAAGTGCTGCCTTTTGCCTAAAATATCTGCAAATGGTTAGACCTTTGAGATCGCTCAGATAACAATATGTAAAGTATTTTTTTCAAGTATTTGTTTAAGTATTGTACTATGATAAACTATGAGGCGCAGCTGGGTGGTTTAATTTACACCTGATAAAACATGATCTGCAAATTTATTGAACAGCTTCAAAAACTAGAAATAATTCACAAATAACTTTTGGTGAAATTAAAGTAACCATGCATATATACATCACTATGGTGTCAATTGTTATTTTTATTTTTAATAAAACAATTGTACCGCTTTCATAAGTGAAAGATGTAATTTGTAATTGATATTTTTGTWAGACATTTAATAGAGTAATAGAGTAGTGAATAGTTTACAATAATCTTGTAAACTTCGAAATTGTAATTTGTTATTAGGAGGCTCTCATCATCATAAGCTGTAAAGCTTATAGAGGCCTACCTGCCCATGTAAATCTCATACAAATCATTWAAAATGTACATATGATAAAAATGGAGAAAATCAAATCAAATAAAATTGGATCACCTCTGATTTACCAGAGAGGTCACTAAAACATGCAAAGCTCATAATTTCAGCAAAATATAAGAAAAAGACCTGTTTTTGAATAACCAATGGTTTTTTGTTTTGTTTTTTTTTTTTTNAACAATTGTACCGCTTTCATAAGTGAAAGATGTAATTTGTAATTGATATTTTTGTTAGACATTTAATAGAGTAATAGAGTAGTGAATAGTTTACAGCAAAATATAAGAAAAAGACCTGTTTTTGAATAACCAATGGTTTTTTGTTTTGTTTTTTTTTTTTTCATTAAAATCATTATTTTAATTCTGTTTCTTCAAGGAGTTGACTTTGCTGTTCCAAGAATTAGACGAAGACGATGATGGGAAAGTCAGTTTTGATGAGTTTCTCAATGGTTTGTTTGCTGCTAAAGATCACTATCAGGACAGTATCATTGAAGAAGARGTCATGGATGTCCAACAATCAACTCCTTACTCCAAACCCCATGTCAATGGATTAGCATCTAGTGGTAGATTAAAGGTAAAAAGCATTATCATATGACCCATATGTGCCCGTGCACGTCTTAAAAAAACCTTTGGGAAAATGGCGTGAACAGGGCTGTACGGCTTTGAGCGAGCAGGGCTGTACAAATCCGTACGGCCCTGCTTGAATCCGTGCGCTTTGTCTTTTTTAGCTTTGATTTACTATTTCTTTCTTTCTTTAATTTCATAATTTTGCTTTCGTGAGGGCCATATAATAAAATGCTTATTGACTACACTCGGTTCAAATATTTTCCCATAAGGCCCTCCAACTCAGTCAATAAGTACATATTATGTTTGAAAATACTGCAACCATTAGGCTCAGATTTTTATACATGTACTTTGAGATAGTGGAGAAGGTGACCAAGGCAATCCAGGGTTTGATTGCTGGATTCAGTGTTGTACAGTATGTGAGAGGAGATGATCATTGTTTGTCTTCTGTGTCTTTGGGTTTTTTTTCCAGATTCTCCAAAAATTTTTATCTCCTCAAAAATCAACCTTTTACTGTTAGTTCCAATTTATTTTTTAGTATCTAATTTTTTTATTTTATTTATTTTTTCCTTTCATTTTTTTAGAACACATCAAGTAGATTTGATGACTTATTTTTATCAAGAACAAGTGCATCATCTAGTTTTGGTGAGTATGACGCTCAAATTAACAAATAAAACAGCTTTTTCCGTGCTACATTCAGGCACACAGGAAGTGACATAAGCACAAAAGAAGTGTAAGGAGAAGCACAAGCTGTAGGTGAGTCTTTCTTACACTTCTTGAGTGCTGAAGGCGCTTCCTTATGCTTTATTACTGAATGATGCAGAAAAAAGCTGTTTTATTCATTTTAATAATTAGTTACTTATTTCATTTCTGTATTGAATTTATTTACGCAAAAAGAAAGAGGGTCACAGGATCTAGCAGCACTTCACCTGCACGGATGGTGTCAGCACTGTGCTCTATTAATTAATAAAGCACAGTTTTCGACCAATCAGCATGCACATACTGTACTATCCTAACTTTATAATGCACTACAAAATATTCTTTTCTAATATCTTTTTGGCACCTTAAAGTATATGCTTTTCTTAAGAGAAATTAATATATACATGCATATTAAAACATTGCTCTCATTTCTTTTAGACCTTTTATCTGTTTTGGATCCTGACAATACTGGGTAAGAGATACAAATGACGTTGCAAAGTATTTGCTAAAAATTGATTTATATTGTTGTCAGATGCCTTCATCTAAATAATAATCAGTTGAAGTATGGCTGGATTCCTTTACTAATAAATTAAACCTCTTGAAAAAAGCTGTTTTCTATTATTATTATTATTGCTTGTTTAATATTTCATGATGTTTCATTTTTTGCTTTTATTTATTTATTTTTATTTTTATTTTATTTTATTTTTTTTTTCTTTTTCTTTTTCTTTTTCTTTGCTCTTTTTACCTTCCTTTTCATTCTTCCTTCTTATGTTTCAATGCATCTGTCAGCATAGATAAGCATAGTTGTTCTAACAAGTCAATGCTTTATTGTTAGTTTTGCTAAGATTGAAGATATTAAAGATGTATGGGCAGCACAAGGATTGGATGATGCTATCGAGTTATTAGAGGTAACAATAACCATAACAATGAGTAATTCTAATAAATATTTCTAACGTTACATTCAAGAAATTTCTTGCTAAGCATGATTTCTGTAATATACCGTTTTCTCAAGGTTGAGTACGCATCCAAATTTAAGGAGCTTTTCGGGCCACGATACCAGAACTGGAGCTTTATAATGAGAATCATAATACATCGCTATGGAATTTTTTTCGATAAGAATTCATAAAATTAAATATATAGTCTTTAATCAATAATTAATAATAACAATAATCTCTAATCAATAATT